GTAGTAGTAGTAGTAGTAGTAGTAGTAGTAGTAGTAGCATTAGTAGTAGTAGCAGTAGTAGTGGTAGATATTGATGTTGTAACTTACACTAAACTTTGGTCTATGTCTACAGACATGAAATATACTGACGTATAGTGATAACAGAAATTAATTTCTAAAGAAATTGAAAAACTGATATACCAACAAGAAAGCAAGCAGGGGGACTCAGTAGTGAGCCGGACCTCTCACAGCTGTGTAAGCAGCGGAAAAGTACCGGCAAAACACGCAGCTGGGGCTTTTTAGCTTGTCTTTTTGGCGAGTACGGAAAATTGTGCTCAAACATTTCAATCCTTTTGACGGGGACAGCCAAGCCTCCTGCAGCACTGAGCCAAACATGTAAGTTACATCTCCAGCCCTCTACTGAAGGTTATATACAGACTTCCTCAATATAAAAAATACAATGTTAGCTTTCATCGTTCGCTATTTATGTAGTAGAGGCTGGGGGGAGGGGGGTTGTACAATGTTATGTTCCCTTTCATCCGAAGGCTAAAAATGCTGCATTGACATACAAATTTTAAACAAACTAACCTGCATTTGCCAGAAAATTTAAAGCCACGGACAAATCCCGCTAGACGCCAAGAGTATGGTCCTTATGCACCTCTACAAACGAGAATAGAGGCGGTGGGTAGGCGATAATCATTGTTGTATCTCCACTCTTACTGTTGTTGGCAGAACTTCTGTCCCCGCGTTATTCTCCAACTTCTAGACGGGAACAGGGATTTCATATAGACCCAGATTGTGGGTTCTGAAATCCCCCTGGGACGACAATCTATCAGACAGGCACGTCAGGTAGAAAATAATGGGACCTGAGGATCAACTTTTGCGCCACCTTCATCGGTCCTCCTTGCCAACGTTTTAATTTTCATAAACTTCAAGTAACCCTTCAATTTAAGCAGGAAATATTGCCGCCGACGGAGGTTCGCGCAACTGGACCTGTAACTGCATGACTGAGTACTGACGCACACAAAAACTTAAAACTGCGTCCTTTTCGATGCAGCGATAGTCCTAGTTGCTTTTAACGAATTAACTAGTTGTTTGTTAAGTAGTCGCTCATCGATTAGCCACGGGACACACTCGTCCCATTATGCCTTGAGGCCCAGCTGCTCAGTGACTGTTGCTATAAGCAGATGATTATTACCGACAAAGAAAAAAGCGACTGGAATGGCCATTTCCTGCTTATTACTCGTCATCAACCAGGTGTAGCCATCAAACTTATTTTCGTTAGACTTGTGGGAGGCTGACATCCTGCTTTCCAACTTACTAGTCGGGATAAAAACTCTTTCATGGCTTTTATCTCGAGATGTTATTCCGTTCGTCCTCTAGACGCGTGCTGTGCTGTTCCACTGCCCTTAATTGTTCTTATTTTGCTTCTTTACAGGTACTGACGCCGCCTTTACAGATATGTCACATGAAAGCGCCGGTGCGGAGGCACTCCTGCAGGCCATCGAAGTCCTGGACGCCCAACCGAATGCCTGAGCTCTGCTACTGACCTTTGTAATCAGTATCCTCCACCCCCACCAGCAACCAGCTTCCCAGACTTCTACCGATCCCACTCGGTACTCCTGTTTTATCCTACACCAAAATAATTCTCCTTTGTCCCCTTACTGACCCAGTCAGTGTGATGGCCAGACTAGCTATTTTATGTCAGAGAATTGACTGTTTATCTTGAGGTTTCTTTTTTTAATTCGTCGACCCTGCTTCCTTTGCGGGAATGTCAGTGCCCTTTCACTTCTCAGCCAGTTATTGTGAACGACGAATTAACGCGTTTGCACATTGTAGTTTTTGCGCTGCCTGAGATATTCAGCGCGTTTTAATCGTCACCACCATGGTCATTTTCCGTTTAGGAGTAT